GGGAGTGACATTGCAGAGTTTGCTGTCGGGGTAAAATAAGCTCTCATGTAATTCATTTACAGTTGTGATGGATTATTTGCTCAGGGTTATTTCAGTGTTGCTGCTGCGAATGTCACTTTTAAACTGCAGAATTTAATATAGAACCAATTTAAACAGATCCTTCTGCATTTTTCTGCACTACAGGGCATGGATGTTCCTCTGTTTAAAAGTGCATATGAGTCCCCTAATGTGAACTTCCTCTTGGCTCACTCTGCCTACTGCCGGGATGTCCTCAAACTGCAGAAGGGCCAGAGAGCTGTGATCAGTAATGGAAGAGTAAGTTAGACATTTGTATAGCAAGACTTCTGATGCTGTGAATGCTCTTCTTATTCAATGTTTTTTTTTTCTCTGCAGATCATTGGTCCATTGGAAGAAGGGGAGGTCTTTAACCAGGATGATTTCCTGCTTCTGGAAAGCATTATCCTGAAGACATCAGGGGAGCGTATTAAGGGCAAAATTCAACAGTTAGGCATGGTAGAGGACAGGTATGCTAGACCAATCCTGTGCAACAGGTTACAGACAATTTCGTTGGTTGATGCAAATGTTCAAATATATAACATAAGCTCTTTGCTTGCATAACAAATAGCAGAGCTCTAAACCACTTTGAGTACAGAGCGTCCTTCTTTCAGAGCTGTAGAAAGATTACGATGCATTACACATTACCATCATATGTACTCTCAGTAGTAATTACTTCCTCTTAATGAAGTGTGTCGGACTGCCTTGAAGACAGAGACGTAATAAACGTGCCGTTTTATGTGTATTTACTGGAAGAGCAGACTGAGACAGTGACACCATGTTCATTATCCTCTCAGTAAACTTTTAGAGGGCTGATTATTGAAGTGTAGACTGTAGAGGAGGCAGTCGTTGTCTTTATCAGTGCTTGAATCTGGCACTAGGCCTCTGTGAGAGAGTTTGAGCAAACTTTAGCTTTTGCTAGGCTTCGGTTAGCACATCTGTATTTGGTTAGCTATGGTGTTTATGTGGGCGACACAGGTTCAAATCGGTTTCTTTATCCTCTTTCTATTAATTGTCAATAAAAGTGACAAAATACAAAAATATATAAATAATAAAGAATAAATGTATAATAAATATATTATAAATAAATTAAAAATATATATTTTTTATGAATATAAAAATTAAATAAATATATTATAAATAAGAATACATTAAATAAATAAATACATAAATAAAAGATATAACCAAGAAACGGACAACAAAGGCTTGAATTCTTTGTTTCACCCCACTGTAAATATGTTTATTTTATATTATTTATTTTTTTTACTGATTTGCAGTGGCAGTTTCATTTTGTTACTATCATTGATTGTGAATCTAATCTAAATAATGTACACAATGTGGCACTGAATCTCAATAAAATATTTATTTGTATATAAATATTTAGATAAATTAATGTAACAAGCTATATGTAATTTTAAAAGATACATTTAGAGTCATATTTCAGTACATAAAAACAACCCAAATATATTATTTTATTTATTTATTTCATTTTATTGTCATTTGGTGTATGTTAGTTTTGGACATGCATATGTAGATTAACCATGTTTTGCAGGATATTTTGAACTCTAAACCTAACATGCTATTTATATTTTGGGTTGTACTAATGTAGAAGTCTGCAACTTTTAAATGTGTGTGACAGAGTGAAAAATCAAGTTTAGAACTGACCATAATTTTACCACAATAGTAATATCATTCGAGTGCCATAATATTAATTGAATCAGAGAAATTATTTGTACCACTACTCAATAGGGTAAAAAGGTTGTTCAAATGTCTCGGTGCTAATAAAATTATTGTTAATCATCTTATCTAGCTATGAAAATGTCTACACAGATGAACACAAATTAACAAGATTCTTAGCAAGATTCTTTTCAAACGGAATAATGTTCTCACATTTCTGAATGCGATGTGAAAGTGAATTTGTTTTGCTAGAAGCATTTGCATCCATGTACTTGTGTAGAGTAGATTTTGGGCTTTAGCCTCAGTTTGTTTGATTTGTATGTGTTGTGATTTAGAGCTAGTGATCTGGTGATGAAGGTGGACTCCCTGCTGTCCTCCCAACCCAAAGGTGAGGCAAGGATCGAGCACACTTTTGCAGAAGACAGATACAGGTAGATACACTTCTTCTCATACTAGGACATCTCTAAATCCTCAGAATTAATTTGTCAACTTCCTGTCCATTTCTCTTCACAGCGCTGTAAAGATCAGACCAAAGGAAGAGGACGTGTACTTCGATGTTGTAGCTGTTGTGGATCCAGTGACCAGAGATGCTCAGAAACTGGCACCCTTCCTCCTGGTGAGAACTTCAGCACACCTTCACATGACTTATACAAGTAGGACATGTGTAAACCGGATGGGTTAGTTACAGAATCTATCAGCAGGTGCTGGACTGGATCATGCTAACCAGCCAAACCTTGACCCCTTGGTAATGTTAGAGCCATTATTATTTATTAAGAATGTTTACCAAAGGATGTTGATCCAGAATCATGTCCTGCTTGTCCTACATGTTGTGTATATACCTGCATTAGTCATCATAGGACATCTGGTCCCTCTCTGTGACATTTCACAGGTAGTCAGTCAGCAGTCAGTCTGCATTTGTTGGCTCTGTGTCTGAGACCAGCTGTCGGTGAGAGCAGGTTCATTTCGTTGTCTGTACCTTGACTCATGTCACTTCCTGTTTCTCTGTGTGCCCACTCAGGTGTTGAAGCAGCTGGTCAACGTCAACCTGCGAGTGTTCATGAACTGCCAGTCCAAGCTCTCTGACCTCCCACTGAAAAGGTTAGAGGAGAGACACTGTCAGCACATGCTCCATTATAGAGTCACCTTCACATTTCACTGCATACTTTGAACTTTTTACATGCTACAAAAGCATGGGGCATGAC